CCACATATCCTCTGCACTTGAAAACAAGCAATATTGCACTGGTGCCTTTCTGGACGTAGCTCAAGCTTTCGACCGGGTGTGGCACGATGGCTTGCTTTTCAAGCTCAAAACCCATTTACCTCAACCCTTGTATCTAGTCCTCAAATCCTACCTTTCAAATCGCTCCTTTCAAGTCCGCTGCGGCACTGAACTCTCCAAACATTATCCAATTGAGGCTGGTGTCCCACAAGGCAGTGTCTTGGGCCCAGTTCTCTACATCCTTTTTACCGCTGACATCCCTTCAAGTCCTGATACCTTCCTAGCAACATTTGCTGATGATACTGCCATCCTATCCTCCCACTCGGATCCTCTAATTGCGTCCCGGAACCTGCAAAGACACCTCTCCTTCATTGAGCAGTGGTGCAACAACTGGCGCATCAAAATTAATGAATCAAAATGTAAACATGTAACTTTCACTCTTCGACGCAGATCCTGTCCTCCAATCCTTTTTAATTCAATTCCTCTTCCCTACTCAGACACAGTCCGATACCTTGGCTTCCTTCTGGACAAAAGACTGACTTGGAACCCACATACGAGACTTAAAAGACAAGAGCTTAACCGACGATTTGGTCAGCTATATAGACTACTAAACAGAACATCTCATCTCTCAACAGAAAACAAATTATTAATCTACAAGACCATACTGAAACCTATCTGGACCTACGGACTTGAGCTGTGGGGGACAACTAAATCATCGAATATCAAACGCATCCAATCCTTTCAGTCTAAAGTCCTTCGAACAATAGTCAATGCTCCATATTATGTCACGAACAAGACCCTACACCATGACCTTAACATCCCATATGTCCATGACATCATCCCATCCAGATTCTCCAACTTTCACCAGAACCTCATACATCATCCCAATCCTCTAGCCCAATCCCTATCCAGCTCCGAGCATCCATACCATCCCCCTCGAAGGTTGAAACGGCAGTGGCCTCGAGATCTTTTGTAAATATGCCTTTGGAGTCCTGGCAATGGCCAGCTTCTCCACTCATGTCCTGAGCGTCTGTGGCTCTAGTGCCCTCTTCCAGTCTCCACTGGCTTCTAATACTAGTGATGCGGCTGGAAAAGTGGCGCTGGGATCTTCCGGAGTCTTGCTTTGCCTTCCACGTGTGGGGGAAAAAGCCTGGTTCGGAGATTCTTGGGCGAATGTATATATTGTATATAGTTATGATTGTGTTTAGAAGTTTTTATTTTATTTTATTTGTTTATTATTATTATTTTTTCTTTTCTTTTTATTTATCTTCTTCATCAGTATTATTTATTTACTTCTTATATTTATATTTATTTCTTTATTATTTGTATATATTGTATGAATGAGAACTTTTAGCCCTAATGCTTATAGCCCTCCAGCAGTGGCTGCATGTATTATTATTCAATAAATAGATTAAAAAAAAAAAAAAAAAATATTTTTCGATGTAGATCATTTGTTGAAATTGGTGACGCTCTGACTGTGATTCACCTTCACAGTCATTCATGATAAAATATTGGAAGTAAATAAGGTTATTTGTTTAGTTCTGACTGATCAGGATGATTAAGTTTACTAATTAATACCCAATCAAGACCGAGCGGAATTTGTTTTTCATTTTTCCTGGAGTCTATGTTAGTGTTGTTATATGTTTAAACATCTTTTTTTAACTTCATGTATTTTTTTTTGTCAGTTTCTGTTAAGAAACCAAATTTATGATTTGTTCTGTTTCGAATGATTTCAACAAAATTTAAAAAAATAAATAAATAAATACTCGCCTGTCTGTAAAACGGCTTTAAAATCTAAAAAGAGATTAGATTTTCTTTACTGTTCAAGAAAAACTGTAATTCGGCGTGGCTAATAGCTCATTGTACTCATTGTACCCTTCCGATCTATTTATAAAATCGATTAGTCCACTTATTACTTTAAGTAGATATTGTTTTTTTCTTTAAGATAATTTCTTTTATGCGTCAGTTGGTAAATTATATCCATTACTCTATCTAATTTCACTAGTCTTTTTCAATAACCTGGATAAACAGCTTATTGAAAAATGGCTACTTCCCACTGTTTTGTATTTTAAAACCAAAACGTCCTTTTACAGAAATATCACTATATTAAGTATTTAGAACTTGTGTAATAAACAATTGATGTTCCCTTTCGGTCTGACAACGATTCATTTGTGGTAAATCCGCTTTCCTCGGTGGAAAAGGGCCGCATTAGAACAAATGCGCTGGAGACAATTCGATAAAACTAGAGTCACTTATTTTTTTTATTTATTTTGTTTGTTATATACCTATAACTTAATAATTGACTTTTTTAAAAGGTAGTATACCAAAGTTGTTTCCAAGAAAACCCTCTCACTTTTATTTTTACCTCGCTATCACTAATAATAAGTCAGGATATTATTGTAATCGTAATGAAATGTCCGATGTGTTATGTCTACAGCTCGTTACAATCTAGAGCTTCTCGAGTACGAAAAACTCATTTTCGATTATCAGTCTGTCTCTGACACGTTTTATACCTCCTGAGTCACTTAATCAAACGTCAATTCAAACATTTAAACATTTCTGGACCTCGTATGGTAACTTTTCATGGGTTTATATGCTGATTGAACATTGGTTATTTTGTTTTTGGCCAATTTTGTATCGAATTTATTTGTATGCATGTTTTCATTTTTAACGGGTTTAGATCCAGAATTAAGTTTAATTTCTCTTCTAGTCTATACATGAACATATGTAGGAGGATCTCCGATCTACCGTCAATTTCTTTGCTTAGTATATACCGCTCATTTCATATATATATATATATATATATATTTAACTATGTTATGATGGCCGAACTGTTTTCCTCTATCAACGTTTTTACTGAATGAGGGAATCCATTAATCTGGCTAGTGAGGGGTGAGTGCCGTAGTGGCAGTAAGCTGCGGAAGTAGGTCGATACGAGAGAGAGAAGACGCCAGGCCGGCGAGGCCCTGGTAAATAAGAATCTGTTCCGCCCTGGTGAGGAGGGAGGAGGGAAGGAGGAAAAGAGGAGGACGACTGTCCACAAAGGTAACTACCTCCTCAGGCATCCTAATAGCTCGCTTTTATACCGTCCTCCTTGATTAGGCAAACATTGCTGATTTATCAGCTATTTCAAGCGTCAGCCCTCTACTCAAACAAGGACTTGACTTCAAAGCTGGAGAATGATTAATTGAAAAGTGATTGATTTTTTAAAAAATAAATTGTAATAATTACTAGCAATTATTTGAACTGGTGAAAATAGTAGCAATTAATAGCCCTCCAACAGTTGTTTTAAATAAGGTCGCGTGACCATATTTTTTGTAAAGATAAAAGGATTCTAAGGACTACCAATTTCGTCAATCTTGTCAACAGAATGGATAAAAATTATCCGAATTGACAATTAAATTCTTAGTTACAAAAAAAAAAATAAGTAAGTAATTCTTTATGGTTAATATTTTATTTTTATTTATTGTAAACGAGTATACTTAAAAACAGTGATATCTCTACCCGCGTTCCGTATTATTATTCATTCCTTTTCATCTTTGTTTAATAGACGTTCATACACGACAACCTCTGTCAAATAGGAATTTTTATTTCTGACCTCATTTACAATTGTTGTAAGAAAAATTACTGCAGACATTTGAAAAGTTAAGGCCATTAAAAATATAAATAAAAAATGTCGCCGGGGGTGCATAGAACAAACGGAACAAAAAAGTAGATGAAGAAAAGTAAACAAACGTTTTAACAGCGCCATTGATTATCTTAAAAAGATTATTTATATTTTGAAATATAAATATTATTTTATATAAAATCTATGGTTAGTATTTCGAAGCTTTTCAACCTGTTAGTAATCAACTCTGATTTTACAAAATTCCCCGTGAAAGACGATGCTAAATTACTGTGGGTAGGTTGGTGGTTGATTTTGCGCGTTGAAAGTAATGTTATATCAAACTGATTTGATCAAAAAGGATTACTGTCAATGGAATCGTTTGTAGTCCTCTTCACAAGTTCATTGGTAAACTGAATTACGAATTCATTTGATTGATTGATTCAGTCATTGGATGATTATTTGAGTAGGTATAGAATGATGTAGAAATCTGTATCCATTTCGACCAAGGCCGAGAATGATCTTTATAGCTAATTGAATCCGTAATTACATATTGTCCATTTCGCAGATCTTGTTTAAGATTGGTGACTTTATATCAATAAATCATTCAGGCAATATCTTACCGAAGGGAACCTTTTTCGTATTCATCACGTTTTGCGACGTGTAAACGTCGACTAGCGAAAGTGGCCTGTCCAGAAAGACCACAGACCCCTCCTACCAGCCACTGAGGAGTATATTGACCCTCGTATAACTGAGCGGCTTCCTGGGGGGTAGTTGCTCATACAGTAAGCGCCCAGGATATTTTGTACTTATGTCAACTTGGAATTCGTTATAGCTCAAAAAAAATTGACTCCTCAAAAAAACAAAAATGTGTCATAGTATCCTTTATATGGTATCCGAGGTACAGATTGAGTAACTAAGAAATAAATGTTAATAGCTCATTTGATATATCCTCCACTAAGGTTACACTTTTATTGTGAATTCTATTTGTAAAAATAGGTTAACTTGATTATTTGTATTACTGCTGACGGTTTACGCATAACTGACCATTTTTTAATTGCCTGTTTGATCAAATTTGTCATCTATTCATTATTTTAATTGCATACAACTATTATTTTGATTCATAATAAATAACAGGTGACTTTGATGTTCATATATAGATGTTTATGTACATGTGAGTGGTCTCGTATCAAAAACGGACAACTGTCATTTTCAGAAAATGGAGAAAAACTAAATTTTTGTTATATAAGTTCTATTCAGACTGTTTACGATAATTTTATTTAAGAAAGTTCTACTTCAACCATGAAACAAAATCATTCAAATCTGTTAAAATTGAATCTACGTTTAAAAAAATTGACTTCTTGAATTTTGAAGACAGATGTCCGTCTTTGCTATGGAGCCACTGATGAGGCCTAATTTTACAGAGTGCGGTAATTTTTTAGCTCATTATTTGTTTTTAATTTTCAATTTATATGCAATCTTTTTGCATAGCTTAATCGTACGCTCTTGGTGTTGCAAGTAACTTATTGGAAGCGTCAAATCAGTAGGGAGTAGTATATGAGTGAGGTCAGTCAATTGACACTGAGCAATTGTAGGCTGCTCCGGTTCAACCCACAGATTTAATACTTTCGACCTATCTTCTTGAAAAACCGTTTAAAAACCACATTTTTTTTTCTTTTGTAAACGGTTCGTCTCGACTTCCTTTGTTCGATAAAAAAGCAGGCTTCAATTTCAAGTGTTGGCCAACATTTTTTTATTTTATTTTCTATAACTTGAAACATTAATTATGATTTATTAACAGTTAGAAAGAAAAGTAAAATATCAAGTTTTAATTTTTTTTTCTCTTTTAAAGTTTTTATTTTGAAGATCTATTGACTGAAACACCGTCTTATGTTTAATTCATTTATTTAATCCGATATTTATACAGTTATCTATTAATTAAATTAATTTCAACATATTGGCTGTTGAATGCAAAAGTGGTGTCTGTCAAAACTTATAGCTTTGAGATATTCTCCGCTTTAGGTTAAATTCTGTACAGGTAGGTATAGAATACAAATGGAAATTTCTTGGTAGTGAACAACAGTTCACTTTCTATGTTAAAAATAGTCAGCCTCAAACATGTCCAACCAACTATTCGAAAGTATAGAATTAATAATCTTGTCTCTCATTCTTCACTGGTTTTAAGTAATAGTGGCGAGGTTGAGAGATTAGTGTTGGGATCATCTGGAGTCCTGCTTTTCCCTCCAGAGGTAGAATTATTGTTTATTTTGCTTTATATATTTATATTTTCTCTAAATATGGTTTTAATGAACTCTTTTCCCACTGTAACGTTTGTCTTTATCATGACAGAATGTTGCAATATTATTCAACATAATTGAAAAAAATAATGTATTTAATGTAGTATTGCCCGCAAGACCAACACCAGGACTGGAAAAAAAATCGATTTCTTGAATAAAAGTTAAGGTAAAATAGTTACTAATACTTGACAATCTTAGTTACAATATGTATATAATACCAATATACTTTTGCATTTAACTCCTCTATTTTTTTATTCGGGCTCAGTTAAGTTTCTCCTAACTAAAAAAGTACAGTAATATCTCTATAGTAATAAGCTAATAAATAACTACGAGACTCTTGCGCAAGACCGAGACTATGACTAATACTGAGTTTGTAAAACCAATACTCGTCTCGGACTCGCACTTAGGAAACACTAATTTAGTGATTAATTAATTATTTATTATGAAAATTACATACACCACCATTGGAGCTAACTGGCTACAAGTATTCTATAATCTTAAATATTCATTACAATTTACTTTTAAACCAATGAATCGGGAGTTTTATAGGAAATAAATCATTGTTTAACATCTGATTAGATGTTTAACATAATCATACCTATTATACATAAGGTATGATGTTAAGTCTCACAATATTATGTAGTTTAATTACAAATTTCACTTATAAAAAACCCAATGAACCACAATTTCAAAAATAAAGTAAAACTATTGAATTTTTATTTCATACAAAATAAATTGTGGTTTAGAATTAATTTTGTTGAAACCGGGTTGGACTGCGGAGGCCTTTACTGCAATATAGAGTCCGTGGCTTCGTTGTGCAGGTCCTTTTATTCTAGGTAATAATTTAGTCCCAATGGACGATGTGGTGAAGTTATCTACCCTTCAGAAAAGTTTATAAACATGTTGGTATTTATTTTTTTTATTTAACGGATAGGCAAGATATATCGTTTTGGTATTAAAAATATACAACGCATCGTTAGTTTAGGTTTTTTCATATGCCATCTGAAAGTGAATTTATATATACACAAACATTGTGCGTGTCGATATGTGCGTATATACAGCATTATGGAAAACCAGCTATTCATGATATTTTTGTTAACATATAATTGAGGAAAAAATGTAATAATTCGTCGTTTGAATAAATGTTTAATTTTTTTAATCTGTTACTAAATTTAAAATTACGTAGCACGAGGATAAGACTTTAAGAGAATTGTTGAAAGTACAAGATAGGGTAGATTTTCTACTGCGAAGGAAAACTAGAGAAAACAAGCCGAGAGTTAAGAGACAAACTTTTACACAGGAGTTTGTTTAATCTTTACAAGACTTCTTACCTAGGCCAGTGATGGAGTTGGGATGAGTGAATTTAAGTAGAGTAGTTTAAATAAATGAGTTCGTTCAGTAACGTCGAGTTTTATTATTTAACCAGTCCGTAAAAATTTAATTTTTTTATTTCATATTAAATATTCCATAACAACAATGCTTATTCAATTTGCTACTATAAATCTTTAAGTAAACTCCTTGAATATAAATCCTGACTTGGAAAACTATATTTTCTCTTAATCAAAAATGAGTGTAATTTGTCGAAACAGGAAAAAAAAAGTATATAAAATTTGATGAGGAAGTAAATCAACCGATTAAATATTTGTTCATACCGAAATGTGGCTCCTACAAAATTTTAAAACCATTATAAAATTACGAGTGAAATAAAAATATTGTTATAAACCTCTTTTATTTTTATAATTTTAAGTAAATAATAATGATTAACGTATATAAAATAATAAAATATTTTTCTTAAAAAAATATATATATTATCAAAACGTGCCAGTGGAAGATTTTTTTTTTACGCTTCGTAATTCTGATTTTATATTCACTTCTAAATAAACACATATTAAATTTATTATTTTTAAACGATTCACTGATTAACATGTTTCACTTGTAAAAAAGACACTTTTTAATCACATACACTTTTTAATCATTTTATATACTTTTTAAGGGGTTACATTGCACTAAAATTTCATTTTATATCAAAACGAGAAATCATAATATCAACTATTTAGTATTTAATTTAAATTTTAAATCGCCAAGCTGTATTTATGAACGAAGACGTTTCTAGAAGTATGTTTTGGGATACAGTCAACTATGTACTAGTGAATTTAAAAAAAAAAAACTACTAATTATTTTACTCTAAATAACAATTAATAATTATTTAGATAATCTATACTAGTGTTGCCCAAATGCGAGACCAAGGCGAATCTTGTCTTGCGTGCTTCAGTCTTCTGTTTGCGCAAGAGTCTTGCAGTTACCTATTAACTTATTAATATAGACATATTGCTATCATTTTTTTTAGAAAGGAGTAAGCTAACTAAACCCGAATGAAAAATTGGAAGAATTAAATGCAAAATCATATTGGTTATACCAATTCTTTACATGTAATAACTAAAATTGTCAAGTATTAGGAACAATTTTATCTTAATTTTTATTCAAAAAATTGATTTTTTTACCAGTCTTGGTCTTCCAACATTTAGGCAGTCTTGGCCTTCGTCTTGCAAAGTGCAAGACCAAGTCCTATTTTGGACAAGACTAATCTATATCACACTTATCTATAAAAGAATGAGTACAGTATTTTTCTAGTTGATTATTTGGCGAAGGGATCAGCAAAAAAGACAGGTTGATAAACATCACATACCTCTTTCAGACATCATAAATTAATTCAAAATTTCTATGAAAACCGAGTGGCAGAAAATTGATGAAAAAGAAGAAACAGGGTTGTTTTTTAATTCTTACTACCCGCTGGTTACAATGGAACCCTTATTGTGTAATAGCAAAGCTCCTACAACTTTGATAAGAACAATGTACACAATAAGAATTAATCATGCCATCTCAGGTAGTTACCTATGTGATTAAGAGAAAAGACACAGATTATTGTGAATTGTGTGAAGTTACTCGTAAGGTCGATCCGAAAAATGAATTGATGCCATGCATTAAATATGCTGCAGGGAGATACCATTTAATCAATTAAATTAAAGCTCTAATAAATAGGGTCAATCCATCTTATACTGTATATTATATAATAACAAACCCTAATTCTGTTCTGAAAGCGTTAGACCAATTTGTAAACTATAAAAAGGTATTAAATTATAAAAAATAAAGACTGTTGGTCTTTTTAGTTAATTTTTAGTTAAATTCAGCTAAATATTTATTTGGAATAATTACTATTTAAAATTTTGGCTTGTATATGTAGCCTTGTATAAAATATTTAAAATAAAAAAAGTATTTTTCTCGAATTTCTTGTATAATGGACCTGCATGATACGTAACGGTAAGATTGATGTCGTAGTAATGTTTTTTTAATGTAACGTCATCTTCGAAGCAAAAATGTCTTGATCTGAACGATCCTGTAGAAATTTTATACATTACAGTATTTAATTTTATCACGATGCGGTAGGATTTAAGGTTTAATTTAATTAGGGTAATTCCCATCTGTAGATACATTATTTACTATGTAAAAAAGTTAGGAAGACACAAAAGCTCATCCAAAAATCGTTAAAAGAAGTAAAAGAAGAAACTAGCTTACAATGAACTAAGTAGTGACTTGAAAAATCCACTTTTGAAGCTGTAGCTCGCGGGACTCAAGGGCAGTGCAACCGGTTCGAACCCTACCCCCTCCCTCCCACAACACTCCTCTCTACTCTAATTACTTCCACCGGTTACTTTTGTTTCTTTATATCGTATCTTTATCTTCGCTTCTCTTTGTGGTTCACTAGTGAGATATATTATAAAAACAACAAAATGATACAATGAGTTAGTATTATAGGCCTTCTCTTTAATTGGTTGTGCAGACAGTAAAACATAAAAGGGAAAATGGCTGCAAAGACTCTCTATCTTATTCCTATTGGAAAAATTAAACGTTAAACAGCACTTTAAAAATCAATAGACATTGTATGTACGAGTCCCAGTCTATATCATGCTAAAGGGTGATATTTTCTTAAGTTGTGTATATTTATTTCATATTATTTTGTTCTCTTTTACACACTGTACTCTTGTCAAATTATTAATACTCATCTAAAACATCGTGAATGACTTCATTTTTTCGTAATCTACAACATTTTTATTTTAAGGAAATTCTCGGTAATT